GATCTCACATGTGTAGCTCATTCCTCTAATATTTTGTCTCTTATTTCGCTTTATAATAACTTGTTGTGTAAAATTTACAACAATTTTCTGGATGTTTAAATATAAGATGACGAAGTTGGAAAACACACATGTGAGATATTTTTATATGTGCAAATATGTATATCTTTAATTTAATAGAAATATGATCAATAATGAAAATATAAGAAAATATAATCATTTTATTATTTTTTAGTCTCTGTATTAACACTTATTAAAAGAGAGGCAACATAGCTATCTCACAAGATAAAATGAGATTTTAATTGAATAAACATTAATCTTTAATCCAACTATACATGAGCTTCTCAACTATACCTTTGGTTGAAAGATAAATAGCATCATCTTGTGCGTCCCATATATATAAACCTCCACATCTACCACGAGGAGATCCTTCGTCTCCTTCATATGCTGTAAAATATTTATGATATTCCAAATTAGCCCCTTTCCACAAAATACATCTAAATCTTGTTGTGAGAAAGAAATGATCATGAAAACTAAAATTATAGGTAGAATCTTTAAATTTTAGAAAATGATAGCCTAGATCATCACTTCTAGATTTACAGTGAACTTTGAGAATACTATGACTAAGAGTAAGATTGTTTTGGAAAACTACAATGTTTTTGTGACACTTAGCTTCATTCGATCCAAAATAAAAAACAATCAGAAAAGCCAGAAAAACAAATAGAAGATTCATTGTTTTCAATAAATCGATTTTCATGAAACTTAGCTGAATCGCAAAATACTTATGAATTATATATGTGTATGTCTTCACAAATTTATAGAGTTCATTGGTTTCTAGCTCAATACAAATGCCGAAAATGGTTGCTTTAATTTAATTTCTCTACTTTAATGTTTGTTTACCCTTTAGTGTTTGCACTCCATTTGGCAAGCTTATATAGATTTTATTGGCGCTTTTGGAAATTTTGTCAAGTTGTCTAAAACTTTTGTAGGAACTAGATCATCACCCGTTGAATTTTATTTATTACAAAATTTATATAATATATATATTAGAACTAAGTTTTAATATATTATAATAGTAAGTGAAAAAATATAAATTTTTTTGTCAGTCCCTATATACAATATTAGAATAAATATATAATTTTTTCTATAATACTCAATTATGGATAATTTTTTTTTAAGATATGAAAACGGAAACAATTTTATTTTTTTAAAAGTAATATTTTTTGAACAATGAGTTAATTTATGTTAACAACCACAAAATAGGATTGCATATATTTCAGTTAGATCAAAAATTAAAATATCATAAATGAATCGCATATAAAACATAGATTATTTTGAATTAATTAAGAAAATTAGCTATTATTTTGAATTAATTTAGAAAATTCTTTTTCAATTTATAATTCTTTGGTTGTTGAAATAGAGATTTGTTTGAGCAAATCTAATTACAAAATTTGTTTGAGATTTATAATTACGGAATTTACCAATTATTCGCATAATCGAATATGTTGTAAACATATATTTAGTATATAATAATATCAAAATCAACCCGTGCGTGGAGTCTATATTTTTATTTTAGAATCTCAATATTTCATTTTAAAATATTGCGTGCACAATCTCTTATTCGTTAATTCTAAAATTGCTTGTGGAATCAAATTTTCAAATATTTAAAGGTGTCAAACCATATTTAAATGTTCTACACTATTTTTAAATATTCCAAATTAAAATCTTTAAATTTTTTTTGTATTTTATAAAATTATTTATTTCAAAAAACAAATTATATGAAATTAAATATAACTATTCAAATAGTTATAAGGATCGAAACTCATTTCATCATATAATATATTATATTTAACCCGCTACCTATTATAAATATTTTTAAAATAATCAAATTAGAGTATTTATAATTTTTAACTTTTTGAACTATTAAGTATTGATGATATTCCCTAAAAATATCAAGTAAAACTTATTTTAAATGTTGCAAATTAAAATATTTAAATTTTTATTGTAGTATATAAAATTATACATTACAAAAAAAATAAATGTATGAAATCGAATATAAATATTCAAATTCTGACCCGTTGCTCAATCAGAATTTTTGTTGACTTTATTTTTGTGTAAAAGAAATATATTACTCAAGTATGAATTTTTGACCTGTTTAATTGTTTCCTTTATAGATTGAACAATTTATATGCGTTTTTAAAAATTCAAATCTTGGCATATGCAGAAAAAAATTACTTTTTTTAATTATGTAGATGATATGATGATTTATTTGTTTGATATTAATATAATCATATTAAGATGAGAGGTGAAGTTTAATGATTAATAACAAATTAATATGGTAAGTTAGATATCAAATCTTATCTGTTCATTTTGATTGGTCATTTAAAAAAAAAAACAGATTTTCGTTTTATAATTTAATTAAATTAATTAAATGACATAAATTAGTATTTTACTTGTTTATCCTTAATAAATTGAATGAAATTTGTTATAAAAGAAGATTTTTGTAATGACATTCTTAAGTAAATTCTTACAAAATGGAAGGTTAGTTAAGGGTATCTTATAAAGTGTACTCCCCAAATAATAGTATAGGATCTACTTTAACTAGAAGTTTTTTTACACATACGTTTCTTTGAATTTCCTAACTTTAATTTTTTTATTTATCTTATTATTCTAGATATTAATCTAATGAAATAATTGAAAGTTTGTTACCATTGGTCCAAAACAAATCATATATCTCATTTCTACTCAAATAGACAAACTCTCAGCTCTTCCGAATTTGACATTTACTTCCATTTAATCAAACCATTTTTTTCTTAACTTTTTCCTCAGTAACATGCATGATGCATATTAGAATGGAACTAGTGTTGCGATGACAACACTAACACAAAACAGGCCCGACTCAAAAATATTTTGGACCTTGTACCCATTGTAACAAAAAAATCTAAAACATGTTCATAATATAAAAATTTAGGGCCTTATTTGCAAATTTTCTAAAATTTGGGACCCTTAAAACCAATAAAAACTAAATAAAACTTTAGGACTCATTGTTTGAGCACTGTCAGCAGTACCCCTAAGTCGGGCGTGATACAAACTACTAAATTGCAAACAAACAAAACATACATAATAAAAGAAACTTGACTCACATGACTTGATACTAGATTAACCTCTATTTCTTCTTCCTCGATGAATGTTCGGCCACAACTATTGTCCCAATGCTCTAATCTTGACAATATTTTCAAAAACATTCGTGAAAATGCCAAACTCACATGTTGATTGCATGAAGCAAAATAAAAAAGGGGGTTGGACGAACATAAACTACAAGCTAAGCAAGAGTCGGGAAAAGCTAAAACTAACGATGGTCGTGTTCCACAATAGCCCCATATTCCCTTATAAGTTATAACATCAGAAACTAATATTTTGTTTATTATTACATAAAAGTATCGCCTCTACCAGTCGTACATCTTTCTCAAAAGATGTGTTATGAGGTCAAACCTTGGCTTCATGTTCACCATGGTATCTATGTTAGAGTACTCGTTCACATATATACATGTCACATGAAAGTATCGCATCTACTTGATAGTACGTAGGATGTTTTGAAAAGATGTTTGAATGAAAAGATAATTGAACGTCGGTGATAGAGATAGACAAATCAATTTTCTTAACCTCCTTTTATGCAACACCATATTCCATAAATCATGGTGTTACACTTTGTTAATAGAAGGAATCTCCTGGAACATACAGAGACGCCGCATGCAGCATCCAAACAAATAACCTGACTATGTGACGAATTCAAGCTAGTGTGAGATGAGAGAAGGCTATGTTTCGCCAGGCATAATATCTTGTGAGTTAAGTTTGCCTCTGCACGGAATAATTTGAATAAAATTCACTTGTTAGATTTGGGATTTTGGGAGAAGAAGAGAGAAGAATGACAACCGTTTAATATATATTGTTGACTTTTTACGAGCCTAAATTTTGCATAGACAATGATTATTTGGAGAATTAATTTGCAAACGTGAAATTTGGGAAAAATAATTTTCGAATTTATAAAAGTTGAGGAGTTAATTAGCCATTTTCCAAATCAAATCCAAATCGTAGATTTTAAAATTATTCTAATATTTGTGCAAAACACCATTTTAAAAAACACTGTGGGTAATTATCGTATATGCATGGATAGTCTCCTAGTTAAAGCCCATCCTTTTGTGTGAATGTAATACGAAAGTTAAATTTTTGCAATATTTTTATGCAAAAGGAATAATCAATTTAACTAGAGAGTCTATACGTATCTTCTCTTCTTTGATAACTTTAGTTATTTAAAAACTTTAAACACATTGCACACATATAAACCCCTACATTATTTAAAGTTTACATACATTAAACAGTGTCAAAATACATATTGGTTTATAATGTCACTAATATATTTACCTTATTTATTAAAAAAACTAATTTTTCCTGCAATTTATTTACCTCTTTTTGAATTAATGTAATTTAAATTTTATTTATGGTATATATATGGTAAAGTAATAACTAATCTAACTAGAGTCAATACATGTCTTCTCATCTTTGGTAACTTTATTTATATATATGTAGAAGTTAAATATTTACCTTATGTTAAAAAGGAAATATAATAAATCTCTTTATTATTTAAAAATTTAATAAAATAAAAAGTGTCAAAACTTATTTTTCTTTTTGATATGAGTATTATATTTTATTTATTTTATAGGAAAAAAATAATTTATCCCGGATATATATCTAATATTTTAAATTTATGCTCATATTTGTACAAAACACCATTTAAAAAAGCGAGGGTAATTATCGTATATGAAGGGTACTCTCCTAATTATCAACAGTTTTAAACCGTTATTTATTTAAAAAACCGTTATTTTTTAGAAAATCAATCTAAGTCAACACAAGATTTTGTAAGGAAATTAAATTAAAATCAGCCCTGCTCCATTTTCTTCCTGAGTCTACTATATAAACTCTCTTTGACACCATCTTAGCAACACAACAAATCAAGATATCTCTTCTCTTCTTCAAAAGTGAGATCTCTGCAATGTTCTCTTTCGCTCTCTGATCTATTCCCCTTAACGATTGCCTTTCAAAAGTAAGATTAACGTTTTCCTGTAATTGATTCTTCTTCTTGTAATGATATTTGATCTTTTTTTCTTAATTTCGTTCTATGATATAAATGGGTTTCCACTATAAAATATTCATTACTCGTTGTAATTTTTATGTTATATTATGAATTCTTACTTATTGATTTCTGTAAATTCCTAGGCATATAACGATTATGATGCTCATATAACTATGATTTTTGTCTTCTAGATCATGTTCTCTTATAATGTTCATATAGACACGCTAAATCTTGACGAATGATCCATGATTACGTATTTATCATTTTGGTTCTTTACTTTGACTATAATTTCTTTATCGTATCCTTGTTGATGTGGAAAGAGATGCATGCATGTTAACACTTGTGGTTTATATAAAGTTATAAGTTATAACCATGTATAATGTATTACATGTAGTTCTTATCAAGTTATGTCGTCATCTCCCAATGGAAACGAATCCAACCATTATCTGGCTAAACCAACTTTTGAATCTGTAAGTCATGACCTCAACACCCGTGAATGGGATGACCTTATAGAAAAATCAGATATTAGCAATCAGTCTCTGCCAACAAAAGACGTGGAACCTATCGAACCTCTGCCACCAATTCAATTTATGACACATACCTCCAAAACAAAGCGGCCTGTCACAGAGGATTACATGGTTCAATGTGCCGATTGTAAGAAATGGAGGCTCATACCTTCGATGCAACACTATGAAACAATCAAAGAAACACAACTTCAAACCCCCTTTGTCTGCGAGAGAGCATGTGCTTGGACGCCAAACATGTCTTGTAATGTTCCTCAAGATGGAACAACATGTGATACATGGTCTAACATCCCTCCCATACCCACCGGCTGGTCACGCTCTGTGTATATTAGAAGTGATTCCACAAAATTCGCAGACGTGTAAGTACTTTTAGCCCATTTTTCAATGATGTCAAATCATAAAGATTTTCTTATAATTGGTTTTCTCATTGTCATTCAGCTATTATTTTCCTCCATCGGGAGAGAGGCTACGATCACCAGCTGATGTCCGAAGGTAATATTTTCTAACAAGTTATGTAATTTATAGAAAGTCGATAGGTTGACACTCTTTGAATTTCCTAGTTTAGGATAATATTTAGGCGTTCCATCTCTTTAATTTGTTTCCTTTTCCTATAGTCTTTTGGGTTTACGTTTGATTTAGGGATGAGGATCGGTGTATCAATGTCTTACCATTTTGCAAACCAATGTATAGAATCATTTTGCAAATTAATTAACCTCATTTTTGGCTTGCAGTTTCTTGGACAACCACCCAGAATATGTGAGAGCAGGGGTGAATTCTTCTCAGTTCTCATTTCAGTTGCCGAAACCCCTGGACGAGAACTATGTGAAGAAGCGCACTCGACCAGTGACACCAACAAAATCGTCAAAGGATAAAAATTGTAAAAAGGACAAAAAATGAAGTCATTATTTCATAGACAAATATAGTCTATGAGGACAAAAATTAAGTATTCATGATACTTTTAACTTATGTTGTGGTTTAAACTTTAAAGTAAGATTGTGAGTTTATTTGGACAAATTTAATAATGTTTTGTTGACAAGTTTAGTTATTTTTTTGGTTCACAAATCTTTTTTTTTTTTGCAAACCCTTTTGTCTATATTTTGTAGAGAATCCTAACCTAAATAATTTATTTTGTAAGAAATATTTTTATTCAAATTTTGTGATTTCTATGGATACTACATAGTGTGTGTCAGTGTGTGGTATAATACAATACATAGCTTCCTAAGAAAAACAATGTTTGTGATTGTGGTATAAATAAATAGTGCTAAAAACATAATATAAATATAATGTATGTTTACATAAGCATTAAAAGTTTTATAGGGTTTAAGACTACTCTTCACTTGCCTGATTTGAAATTGACTCAATACTCTCCTTCTCCACCATATTAAAGATTCAGGCACCGATTAACGACTCATGAAACTCGTTTTTTTTTTTTTCTAGCTTTCACAATGTTATGATTTTTTGACTTCTTATGTTAGGCTCAGCCCGATAGATTTTATTGCCTACGGAAAAACAAGTCATTTAGCCCATTATAAAAAAATGTTAAAACAATTTCTGGATTTCAACTTAACAGAGTCGTTTAGCCCACCACATCGTAAATTTGACTAAACGGAATAAATAAACAGACTTAAGTATTCACTGAAAATCTCGTTTTATAGATTATCATCTATTTTTAACTGAGACGTAACACCGTTAATTTATTCCGTCAGTCAAACTTAATGACTCGACTATTTTAGCATAGTTAGTTAACGATTAAAATGAGAAGTCAACAAATGTTTACGATTTAATTGAAAAATCAAGAAAAATTGATTATATATTTCATCGAAACCAAAGTTGGAGACTGTTTTCAACACTTTTGTTTAGTTGAAAAAAAAATTCCTGACATTTTTACGGAAATCTCAATTATATATAGTCTTTTTTTTTGTATAAATGTAAAGTTTATTCAACAAAAAATCTGCTTTACAATAAATGGATCATAAAAATTGATAACAATTAAAAAATCAGAAAAGTATATAGAGATGTGTAAACTAGTAACTATTGGTTTAAAATCAGAATCGAACAAGTTCCCAAGTGGGCAACAAAAATCATGCCAAAAAGAGGTACCCTCACTAAATTTTACTTTCACCTTGTAAAGAGGTTTCGTTGTTGGTCTTTAGTCAGAAGTTTCCTCTACATCCACGACCCAGAGGAGGAGTTCCCATGGACTGACCATAACGAAGCATTACGCAACAGATTTTTATGGACCTAGTTGGCCCACATTGAATTTTCATATAAGCTTCAAGACACTAACCGAGTTAACTTCTGATATCAAACTTATTCCTATACTACCCTTTTGTTTTGGCTTACAAACATCTTTCTAAGCAATCTTGTCTTTCTTGGGTTTAACTCAGGGTATGACTATAGAAAAGCTGAAATAAACTTTCAATTTCTTTAATGCACTTACTCGGCAAGCTGAATTCGGAAAGCGGATAAGCCAACAATTTGTGAGACATGAAAGTACAGAAAATGATCAGCAAACTCCCCATTAACCTGAACAAAAAAAGAGGCAGTCCCAATACACAACTTGATCAAGTTAATAAAGCTTTCCGGTAGATTCATGGCCTTAAAAATATTAAGCAAAAAAAAACATTCCACAAAATCAAAAACTTTAGAGATATTGATCTTAAGAGCGCAACGACTAGAAATTGACTCTTTGTGATAATCCTTCACTAGTAAACATTTTTTTTTTGTTTATGTTATCAACAATTGACATATATGTTTTTATTAAAGTTTAATTTACATATTTTGAAAGTCAAAATATTTGTTAAACAATGGCAAAATATTTGTTAAACATAATTCATCTATCTCGCACACAACACGAATCCATATCTAATATTAGAAAGAATTATACTTTGATTCTTTTTTTCTGAACGGAACTTTGATTAATGGTAAGATTTGTTTTAAACACCAGTTTTTTTGTCCCAAAAGCACAAATATTCTCCTTAGTTAAAGCATGATATCTTTGGAGTGAATGTAAATTAAGAATTATATTTGTAACAACAAATTTCATATTTATACAAAATAAATTAATTTCAGTTTCTTTCTCTCTTCTCTTTCTCGGTTTCCCCATTTTCTGTCTAGACAACCACACCAACAAACAAATCTAAAAGCTTTGTCCGAATTGGCTCTGTCTCAAAAATGAGATTCTTAAATTAGCCACAACGATCTTTAGAGCCTTCGCTCACCGATCTCTGAAACCCTGGTTTGGTCTCTTCTTCTTCGTGTAACGATTATTCTTCTTGATAATATTAATCTTTGTTTCGGCTTTTTCGATGAAATTGTGTATTTTTTGGATCTCGTCTCTATCAGCTCACGTTAGCTCGTTTGATGAAATGATTATTGTTACTTCCGTTGCTCTGCTTTTGTCTCTGTTCTATGATTATTGTTGATTGTGAGATTGAAATGTTCGAGGGTTTCTACTGTTTACTGTTCTTCTGATGTTTTCTTGTTCATGTTCTCATAGAGAGACTAGTGTTATTGTGATGAATGATTCTTGTTAACTAAATTGTTCTCATATTACAGGTAGTTTGTATGAGTATGTCGCAGTCCTGCTATGAAAACAAATCCAATAACATAATGGAGGAAGGAAAGCTTGCTGTCCAAAGTTCGCGAGGATCGAGATCGTCTTCACCTAATGAGGTAGCTGAGGATAGAGGTGAGAATCAGTTGGTGGTTTATGACTTGAAAGGAAATGATACTGAAGAAGAAGTTCTACCGATTCAATCTCAGCTTCCGTCATCCAGAACACAGTGTCCCTCTATTGGGGCTTTTACGGTTCAGTGTGCTAGTTGTTTCAAATGGAGACTTATGCCTTCGATGCAGAAGTATGAAGAGATTAGGGAACAACTTCTAGAAAACCCGTTTTTCTGCGAAACAGCACGTGAGTGGAAGCCAGATATTTCTTGTGATGTTCCTGCAGATATCTATCAAGATGGAACTCGTGTTTGGGCTATTGATAAGCCGAATATCTGTCGCCCACCCGCTGGATGGCAACGTTTATTGCGGATTAGAGGTGAAGGAGGTACCAGATTTGCCGATGTGTACGTCAGTTACTCTTCTCTCATTTATGTCAAATTAGTCTTTCCTCTTTAAACCATTGTATCAGCTTTCCTTATAAATCTTTTTTCCTGGTTGTTTTCAGCTATTATGTTGCTCCGTCAGGGAAGAAGCTTCGATCAACTGTGGAGGTCCAAAAGTTAGTTTCTCTAGCACTCCATTTCCACATTTTAGACCACAGTGAATCACTGATTGATATGCACTTTTTCTATTTCCTGATTTTCATCTATTTATTTCCTTTTCCTATAGAGTGCTTTGCTTTTGTGTCTGATTATGTATAAGAATGAGGTCTCAGTGTTACGAGTGTCTTACCATTTGTGCTAAGTGATATATAGAATCAGCAGGCACATATAGTTGGTACCTAAGTGTTGTCCTGTGGTAATAGAGTTAGGCAGTTATGAAAAATACGGAAACCTTTTCCTATGTTTTGTTGACTAATGAAAATGTGTGCACTGTGCAATGCCTAGAAATTAGTTAAAATGTCATCCCTATTTTCATAATACTTCACTGAAATAATTGAGATCAGCAACAATGGTAGCATAAAAGTTTAGTGATCTACCAATTCGTTTAGGGATTACCAAATTGTTTTCAGTTACGTATAGCGAGCTTCTTTACACCCTTATAACCATTATTATTGGTTTGCAGGTACTTAAACGACAACCCCCAATACATGAGTGAAGGGGTGAAACTTTCACAGTTCTCGTTCCAAATCCCGAAACCGCTGCAGGATGACTATGTGAGGAAGCGCCCAGCTCGACTAGTGGATTCCATCGATAATACAAACACCCATGTAGCTAAAGAAGGTATGTTGCTTTTTTTCCCATGTTACTCTTCTATATCCAAAAACGACATTCTTGGCTAAATATTATTATAAGCTTGAAGATTATAAGTCTCTTGAAAACACTCCAAGTATGGATTTACAGAAATATAATTGTGGTTATCTTTTGTACCTAGGCTTTAGATTATTGATGTCATTTTTTCAGTCAGAGTGTATTTGACTTGTACTCAAACCAAACATTGGTGTCTTTAGGGAACTTCTCAACAAGAAAACGTCTTTGGTTCACTGTGATGAATATCAATTTCCATCAAATCCAACTTTTACAAAATTCTAACATTTCGGTTGTCTTGTTTTTTTCCAGCTAATCCACTGGCATGGATCTCTCCAGATGATCATATAGCGTTGCAGCTAGGTACGCCAACCGATTCTGGACTTTACAATTCACATGATCAACCATCGAAAAAGAAAAAAACATCAAAGCTATCGATCTTTGGCTCCAATGACGAACTTGCTGATAGATAATCTAGCTTGACAAGAGTGAGCTATCATCTTCTCTGGTATATAACCCGTCTTCTATCTTCGTTTTTTGGGTTTGTTTAATCGAAGAAACTGAGAGCATGTGGTTAGCTTGTTTTTTTGTGTATACCATCTATTTTGTTTTGCAGTGTAAGATACTTTCTATGAAGAAGATGGGTCCTTTTGGTTTTTGCTTCCAAATTACTGGATTTCATGGAACTTGAAGTTAATGTTTTTAAACCTAAAATTTGATTACACCAAATTCCATTATCTCACAAACCTACTAGAGGACTGAGACAAGAAAGCAGAAAGAGCAACTGAAGCAACAACTTAAAAGAAAATCCACCATACATTACACATAGAAGAAAAGAAAGATATGTGCAAAGAATGTGACCTTCCTTGCAGATTATTCGTAAACCGATCGAGACAGTTGGTTGATCAAATTCGTGAATGTCGCAAGAAATCCGCCACTTGCTTTGCTAAAGCTCTTTCCTGCTACCTCTTTTTATCTCTCACTCCCAGTATTAAGTTGTGCTTTCACCTTTTCAAAATAGCCTTCGCGCAAGTTCTTCGGAAACTCAGGTTGAGCTCTCACAAAATTATCATTTCTAAATTCCCATGGCTCAAATCCCTCAATTTTTCTTAACCATCGTTTAGTTTAGGCGAAACATACAAGCTAATTAATGTGCAAGGCACCTTAGGTGAGTCACATACCATGCGCTTAGCTTAACTTTTAAGCATTCCATTTCACAAATGCTAGCCATCAATCCTTGTCTACTTTTCGAAGTGCGTATGAGTTGGAACGTTAATCTCAGGTTATTTTAGCGACATCCAAAAGATAATATTCCAAACAACCCTAGGGGAGATATAGCTGAAGCCATTAGTTTGGTACATACAGCAACAAAACTACGCCATATCTCTAATCCGCGCAAAAGGCAGAAACAAAACTAACAACAAATCTGCCTCTACTACTCTGCTTCGTGGATTCCCTATTCGCTGATGGTGGGCTCCTGTCTCCCGTGCTTAAGCCGTATCATCTGAACCAAGTGATGGGAGTGGGAGTAGTACTGACTTGAGGAAGCTGAGGAATCATACAGTTTTGTTGTTGCTGCCACTGATGCAAGCCAAAACCAAAGGTGGGCTCTTGCTGCTGTCCTTCATGAGGAAAAGATAGAGTGGCGCTTCCATTATCCTCTTCTATCTCATTGGCTGCGTCATCCATTACCGCATCCTCACCTGTTTCATCCAACTCAGTAATCTCTAGTGTACGCGGTTGTTGGAAGGTTCCTATGGGCTGTGAGTAAGTAGACTGAGAAGGATTCCAGCAAACAACTGCTTGGCATTTGTTGGATCTCTGATCTTCATAGTGATTATCATCAGCTATTGATACATCGCGAAGAAACCTATCTGCACAAGAAATCAAGAAATGTGAACATTCAGAATTTAGACACACCCATCCTCATATTGTTTATGTTCAACATATAAACTATATGAGCTTATATGTCAAGATTTTGGATCACAAGTTAGAGAGGCAAACAGTGGCTTTCAAACGTTGTAAACAAACTAAACATAACAAAATCTGACACCAAGACACAGCAAAATCCTCATAATCGGTTCAACATATAAAACTATATGAGCTCATATCACATAAACTAGATTAGTACTATAGTTTCTAAAGTTTTCCTACAAATGTTTTCACAATCTTATAAGATTATCTGCACTGTTTGCTGAAGCTTATCGAGATATCTCAAATGCCGAAGATAGTCTTACTTAATGAGCTAGGACATTGCTATGACATAGTAGTTTCTAAGGTTAACCTACAAGACCTTTCACAATCTCATTACTGAATAAAGTTGAGAAAACTCATCACTAATTCACTTCAACCACATAGTTAAACCTAATCCTAAAGCATTGGTTCAATCATAACATCAACAAATGAAAGAAACTTACTCTTAAACCCAGAAATCAAGTCTCTATCAACAAATAGGTTTCCAGAAGAAGAAGGATGCTGATAATGAAGAGGCTTAAATAGAACAATTGCTCTGTCATTGTTCACCGGCTCAAGCTCAATTTCTTCCGCGGACGTATCTTGCATCGGCAAATCAATTTCCTCTTCCTCCATAATCGGTGGCAAATCCACATCCTGAATCAAGATAATATATACCAATTCATCATGATGATCACGAATTCTAGGGTTTTCAAAAACTCAGAAAGAGAATTTACCAGACGACGAATCTTCCTGGCGGGAGAAGAGAGGGAAAAATCAGAGAATTCGTCGTTTACTCTGTCAAAATCTTTCCTCTTCATCGACAAGCGCTCGTTCTCCTCCATTTTTCGTTTATTCAACGGCAAGTGAAGCTTTTTAGCAGAGATAATGATAAAATTCTGGACAAGTAAGAAGAAGCGACATGTATAGAAGAAGAAGAAGAAGAAAAAGTGGTCTTTCTCAGCTTCTCTAGAGGAATCCAGAAGTCTGAAAGCATCATAAACTGTCTCTTTCATGAAATTTCCGGTTTTTTTTTGGTTTAGAGATTTCCGGTTTGGGTTATACCATCCCAACATTTCCATATTTGTTTTACGTTTTGTAAGTGGTACAATAAATAGTGAATTTGTGCATATGTATTATTGGGGTAGTAAATTAGGTAATAGACATTAGTGTTTTTTTAGGGAATAATGGTCAAATAAAATATATAATTAGGTATGGATTTCAAAATATTTACAAGAAAATCAGAATTATTTTTGGTTTTGCACGTGGGAGAAACGGGTTTGACTTTTGACACAAAAGTACAATTGAATTGACATGTATTAAATATTGGGAGACTTTGCGCAGAGGTAAAAACAGAGTCTCTAATTTGCGAATCGGTAATTGCCAATTTTGTCTCAGACAAAAGAAAAAAATTGTTACTAATGGCCCTCCGTTTCAAAATAATTACGGAAAACCCAGGTGCTTACACAGCTATGCGAGTGGGATAAGAACTTTGACTTTTTTTGGCAAAAAAGAATGATACGACATATATTAAATTCTCTGTTATAGAAATGACAATTACGCAACAACAGAAAGAAAGAGGAACATTAATTATTGCGTTTTTATCAAACTGAGGAAATTTTAGCACTCTACAAATATATATTATACGATTTTGACATTTGTAAACATCTAAACACAAATATGGATCAATGTATACATATATAAAACGTTATATATAAACACATATATGGATCAATATATATATATATATATATAAAACGTTATTAATATTTGTATACATGTAAACATGTACATTAAGCATTATTAACATTTGTATACATATATACATATACACGTATATATATATATATATATATATATATATATATATATATATTGCGTTATTAACATTTGTATAGATGTAAACACATATATAGAGCGTTATTAACATTTTGACATTTGTAAACATCTAAACACAAATATGGATCAATGTATACATGTAAATATATATATATATATATATATATATATTTGTATACATGTAAACATGTACATTAAGCATTATTAACATTTGTATACATATAAATACATATATATATATATATATATACATATATACAGTATATAGCGTTATTAATATTTGTATACATGTAAACACATATATAGAGCGTTATTAACATTTATGTATTTGCTTCAAACATAATTACAATCATTGTAACCCAAACTGTTGCACAGAGCAAGTGTAATAGTGCAACGTAATTAAACTACGAATTATCTCTATATATCCTTAACCAATTCTTCTTTGCTCGAAAATAATCGAGAAGATAGCTTCGAATTATTTATGGTCTTACAAAAAAATATATTTTAATTAGATATTATGACAAAAGAGACAAATATAAACATAAATCTACAAATTTTGTTGGATATCTACAACATATTGATAATGAACATAAGAGAGAAGAGTCAGAAACTGAGCGAGTGAGGCTAAAATCGGAAAAAGAGGAGGCTAATGTTACCATTGTTTTGGGCCCCGACAAAAATTTACCAAATACTAATTATGGCCCAGATCTTTACCTCCCACCTAATTATCTCTTAAATATTTGTCAAGTTAACTGACTCTTACGCGGTCCACATGTGCATGTCCAACATAAGATCTCCTTAGACATACACATTTTAATATATACGTTTACATAGTTAACAACAGGAGTAAAACTAATTAAATATGTAGTTGTACATAACTAGATATACATGCATTTATAAATATAGTTATCTATAACATCAGTTTATAGAAGTTAAAAAAGGATGTAGCTGTGTATCTAAACAAATATCGCTTGACAAAAACTGAATGGACATTTATATAAACACATAGAGGTCTAAAATACTTGATCTCCTACATCCAATTCCCACACTTTATCTAATTTCAAAGAAATTACAGGGAACACATCTTCATCGTCGGATTCTGGTTCCGTTCTATCACCAACTGCTCCGTATCACCGGCAGGTTCTTCTTTATCGGCAAATAAACGAGAAGGAAGCTCCGTATCAGTCATCCTGCAAGAAATTTGGATCTACAAAGGGGAGATGACAACATGCAAGTTAAAAATGGAGATTCACGAGAAATTATGAGTGTCTATATGTAGATCTAAGTAAAATAAGTAGAGATACAAGTGGATCCGAAGAGGTCTAACAGAAAAGTTAGAGTTTAAGATTTGAAAACACCAGTCAAAATTAGAGTGAAACAATTGAAACGACGGGTGGTAGGATCGGAAAAAAAAAAGAAATCGAGAAACAAAACTTCGTGTAAATTCTACCCTCCGGATTACCGAATTAGAGAGGAAGACGCTTTGAGACGGTGACTTAATAGTGACAACAGCGACTTAATAGTGACAACGGCGGAAATTATGTACTTCACCGGAGCAAAAACAAGTTCTCGAAGACGAAGATGAGAGGACGACGAGACTAAGAGAAAGGTTTCTAGAGAGAGAAAATATGAGACAAAGATAAATGAAGTTAAATTTGGGCTGCTTTATTCTCGCGAGTGAGGGTAAAGAAGGCAGAAAATTGGGTTGAAATTATCATTGTCATGTGCTCAAAAAGATAAAACCGGAAATTTAATTATACTCAGATCGGATACTTCTCACCCAATTATCTCTACAATAAAACCTCTATAAATTGATGCTCCATAAATTAAGAGTTATATATATACTAGATATGGATCCGTGCGTTGCACGGGTTACCTGTCGAAATTGTCATTTTAAATTTTTATTTTTGTAAGCTTAACTAAAATTAGATAAAAATATGTTTTAAATTTCAGAAAATATAGTATTTTAATTATTTTTTAAATATAGATTAATTATGCATAATGTGCAATATAAAATACTATTTGTAGTTTTGTTTATTACATGTTACAATATGATATTTAATAAATGTTCATATGTATATTATTGAAATTTAATAAACTATCTACATCCATCGGAAGAGTGTATAACACTTTCTAATTTCAATGTGGGCAAGATGGAAACAAAATTGTGATAATATGAGAAATCTTCAAAACAAATAGACAAATTCATAAGGAATTAGGGAATATGCACTAAATAACTTAAGACTAAAAAAGAATTAAGAAAATAATATTAACTAAATAATATCTATTTGCTATATGGTTTTTTATCAATTTTTGGCTCATATTACTCATGAGTTCTTCGTTGTCTCTTTCTTTTTTCTCTCGCCGGCGAGAATTCTCAAATCTCTTATTTTTGCTCGTTCTCATCTTTCTTTTTCTTTATCTCCCTTTCGTTGATTTCTTCACTACCATTTTTTTATTTTTTCCATATCACTATTTCTCTCTTTCGTCGGGCATCACCACCGAATCTCACTAATCCGACCCACTAGACCACCACCACAACTAAATCTCACAACTATCACAATCATTATCACCATCAATACTAAATCTCGCTAATTCCGACCCACCACCTTCATCAATATTTATTGCCACCACCACCAAGCTTGAACCACCGTCATCAACAACAACACCACCGTTACCGCATCTTCCCCTCTTTTCCCAACTGCTCTTATTTCTCCACCTTCTTTATCTCCTCCAAAATGAGCTTCTTCGACAACAACTCTATTTTATGTCCATCGCCGTCCATAATTCTCTATTTGCCTCCATCACCATATATTCTTACTTTGTCTATCTATCTATTTGTTTATCTATAGAGGTGAGTATTCAGAATCATTTTTATTCTAGGATTAATACTTGATTATAAAATTTCTTTAATTATCATATTATACAATAAGATTTTATAATTTCATAAATCTTTTTTAATTTTAAGGAAAAAGTAATCTATTTCTTTTAGTATTAGTAACTTTAAATTAGAATTAGTAAATAATTTTTTTATTTCTATTTTTATTTAATAAGATACATACAGTTTCCTTATAATTATCTTCTTTACTTTTAAATATTCTTTTATAAGATCTATATGTATAGTTTCCTTATAATTTTTTTTTTTAAAGTTTTTATTTTTATTTCATAAGATACATCTAGTTTCCGTATATTTATCTTCTTTAGATTTTTAGAATGGTTTTATATTGATAAATTTGACATGTGCGTATAGTTTCCTTATATATTTTTAAAATAAATAAAAGGAATTTGTTTTTAACACGTGTCAAAATCTGAGATCGATAAATTTGACATGTGGCACGATCCTATGAGTTACTAACTTTGAAAACCATATTTTATATTATATATATATATATATATATATATATGTATATGTATATATATATATATATATCTAAATCCATAGATGATGAAAATTTAAGAATATATATATGCTTTTTGTATAATTAATTCTCTCTCATTAACTTGTATAAGTTGGACAAAAATACCCTTCCGTATGTAACAAATTGTTTAGCGATATAATAAAATAAATATCGATGAGATAAATATTTCATATGGATTCTGACAATAGCTCCGGTCAATTTTCCAATGACGAATCAGTTGCAGTTTTAGATAGTTAATTATTTTGTTAGCATGATATCTATTATGTGTTTATCAAATACATGGGAAGAACATATTATGAGTTAAATATATATAAATATATCAATAGGTATATCATGTTATATCATATTGTATCGCGATAAGTTTATAATTTATGTGATAAACTCATATTTATCGTGGTAACTTATTTGTTATGTCATATACAAAAATAACAAATTATAAATACTATAGTGTTTTGTGGACAACTACTTGATTAACATGTTAATTTTAATATCATATTAAATTCATATGTTAAATACGCATATTTATCATTTTAAATCAGTTATCATATTTATGGCACCATAATAATCTCATTCCCAGCTTCTCTGAGAAAGACGATGAAAAGCATCACATGTTCGTGAATACCACCACCGTCATAATCTTGAAC